TTTTTTTTTTTTTTTTTTTTTTTTTTTTTTTTTTTTGGTTTAAAAAGCTATTGTGCTTTTAAAGCTGATTGGGATTATGTTGAAAGTTGATACAACCCCACTGAAATTACTCAACTTTTTTCATTATTTTCCCTTATATTATTATGTTCATCAAGTGAGATTGCTGCAAAGAAAAAGGTTAGAATTGTAAGGCTGCAAGGGAAAAGAAGAATGGATGTACTATTCTAGTACATAATAATTTGAGTCATGTTGATTCATTATTATAACTAATAATTTTGGTTCAAATTTTAGTAGTGATTATTTTAGTAATATGGTAGTACTCGAAAATTCGTGAGGTTGGTATGGTGCTGCGGTTTGTGTGTTTGAGGGACTTGGCGTTATGAATAAGTGGTATTAGAGATAAAAGTTTGGCTAAGTCAGGGTTGGTGGGAAACAAAAAGAGTAGGCTAGTGTTGCCGAGAGGTTTGATAGGAGCATACTTGTAATTGTGTGGACACCTTGTTTGTGAGGTCCCACATCGGTTGGAGAAGGGAACGAAGTATTTGTTTTAAAATTGTGAGATTGACGACGATATATAACAAGCGAAAGCGGACAATATCTTCTAGTGGTGAGTTTGGGCTGTTACAAATGGTATCAAAGTCAGACACTGGGCGATGTGCTAATGAGGACACTGGGTCCTCAAGAGAGGGACCGGTGGATTGTGAGATTCCATATCGGTTGGAGAGGGGTATTACTTGTAAGGTTGTGGAAACCTCTCCCTAATAGACGCGTTTTAAAACCGTGAGGCTGACGACGATTTGTAATGGGCCAAAGTGGACAATATATCCTAGCAGCAGACTTGAACGGTTTAAATTATTACACAACTTAAGGGACAAAATTCGAGCAAGTAGGTTGCTTTTTAGAAGAAAGATGAGTTGGTTAGACAGGCCAAAAGATGTAAAGAACGTAGGATGTGACGTGTAATTATATCTATTTTGAGGATGAATTTAAGGCATAATAGAGGGTCGTTGTGGTCTGACATGTTGATGAGTACTGCTTCATACGCAAGTATGCGAAGACTCTTTCCCATAACGACAAACTCGAGATTTTAATACATTGTTAGTGTCTCGAGTGATTGTATATTTCAATTATTGATTTTGTTTTTATTTTATTACATAAAGAAGGTTGATTAAAAAAATTAAATAGGAGTAAAATAATGTTTTGATTATGGATGATATAAGTTAATTAATCAAATGTGTATGATAAGTTAATTAAAAAAAATGATTGAGGTAAGAGACAATAAATGATTAACAAAGCACGTTTGTACGTATCTTTTCAATAAATAATAGAAAACATGAAATAATTACACAAATTTCATTTTAAAAAAAAAAATAATAATAAATAAAAAAAGAAATGGATACAAAATCAACATTTAGTAGTTCGGGTTGACCCATGGGCCGATTTGTTTTGGCCCATATAAGGCCCAATATAACGGGCCGAAACAATTTTAGTCTCATTGGATTAGGTCCAAAAGGCCCAACCCATAAACCAACCAAAAAACCCAACTTTGCTTACTGGTTAGCTGAAGTCATTTGGCAAGCTGCAGCTCACAGCCTCACAGTGTTTGTCACCATACTTTGGGTAGCTTCCTCTGTCACTCAACCAGAGCTCTTCCTGCATAAAAAAAACATCCATGTAACAACTTCAGAAATATTCATTTAATTTAAGGGTTCGTTTGAAATGACTTTTAAAGGGCTTAAAAACACCGTAAGAGAAGAGAGATTCCGTATTGCAACTTGCAAGTAATGTACCTGAATTTAGTACGCTGAAAAACCTCGGTGATAGGTATCGACCATGGCAACTCTCAGAAAGAGATTTTTACCACGAATGCAAGTGAAAAGCATGTCGAGGTTTCACATGAGAATTTTAAGTGAGTTTTTTTCCACGTCGGAACATTAAGTTTCAAAATCTCCCAAGAACGCAGTGATATTTTTCCCTAAAAACTCATGAAGGTTTCAGCGGATACAGAGTATCAGCCCAAGCCCACCGCTAGCAGATATCTTCTTCGAGCTTTCCCTTATGAGCTTCCTCTAAAGGTTTTAAAACATATTTTCTAGGGAGAGGTTTTCACACCTTTATAAAAAGAATGTTTCGTTTCCCTCTCCAACCAATGTGGGATCTCACATATAGTTCGGGATTCAAACGTAGAAAAGACGATTCCATTTCCTTTTTCTTATGTCTCAACCCTGCTATAGCCTGGGTCTTTCAGAACCTCTCTATCTGTCATCCCCTTTCTTATCTTTGCAGCATCTTCCCAACTATTCCCTTCAGAATACACCTTTGACAACAACACAAAGGCTGCATCATTCTGGGGAGCCAATGAAAGCAACTTCTCAGCAGTCCATTGCCCCAATTCTCTATTCCCATAGATCCTACATCCACTAAGCAAAGATCTCAATATGGCAGGCCAAGGTGAAAACGGCATCGACTCAATTACATATCGAGCGTCGTAAAGGAATCCATTCCTCGACAGCATATCGACTAAGCAACCATAGTTATCACGAGACGGTGTGATATTATACTCCGACTTCATAGTTCGAAACAGAGAATGACCTTGTTCTATAAGACCAAAGTGAGCACAGGCTGAAATAACTGAGGCAAATGTGGCTTGACTAGGCTGTAGATTAGCATTCCTCATTTTCTCAAAAACTTGGATCGCTTGCCAAGCAAGACCATGATGAGCATAAGCCATGATCATAGAGTTATAAACAATAATGTCATTGGACTCACCTGACTTCTCAAATGCTCGCTGTGCACTTCCTATGTCGCCACATTTTGCATAGGCATCTATAATGGCACTAGCGACATGCACATGGAGCCCAAATCCCATCTTTTCTGCAAGTGAATGGATAGCCTTCGTTTGGTGATAAGCTGCACTGCTAGAACAGCCATTCAATATGCTGCTGAGAATAAACTCATCAGGCTTCTCATCAGATTCCATTAGAACATTCAGAAACATAAAGGCTTCATATGTATGATTTTGGTGCACCAAGGCAGATATCACAGCTCCCCAGGTCGCCATATCTACACTCTCAAGTTCATTAAAGATCTCAAATGAACTTTCGAGGAATCCTATAATGATATAACATTTCATCAATGAACATGAAACATACCTGTTAGAACCAAAACCAGCCTTCAATGAAGCACAGTGAAGCTGTCTGCATAGCCATGGGTTCTCAGATTTGCAGGCAGTCTCTATAATGATGGAGTGCGTATATTCGTTGGCTTCCACACCTAGACTGGAAAAGGTCCTCAAGGCTTCCATGTCGAGAGAGTTCAAATTGTATGCCAGGATTAGCTGATTCCAAGCAGATATAGGCTTGAAAACTAGAGAGTCAAATACTGAGAGTACCATCTCCATTAACCCACATTGAGCAAACATACTAAGCATTGAGCTCACAACACTAGATTCATCAAGAAAACCCAAATGAACTGCAAGAGAAAAGAATTGAAACCCAAGTTTACAATCAAGTAGTACTCCACATACCCGAAATAAGCTTGAGAAAGTGATATGGTTAGGCTTCATGCCCTCTAGCATGAACTTGCCAAACAAGTCCATGGTTTCTTTCGCATCGTTTTCGTCGGAGAGGCCTCCAAATACTGTATTCCATGATATAATGTCTCTGCTTTGCATACTGTTAAAGGTTTTCAAAGCAGAGTTCTTCCTGCCATTTATGAAGTACATATCGATGAGAGCGTTCATTGCCTCGGTAGATGTTAATCGATGTCGAAGGATGAATCCATGAAGTTCTTTTCCGGAATCCAAATCCTGAATTATTGAGCATGCTTTGATAGCACTAACAATGGTGAACTTGTCCATCTTTATACCCTTGCTAACCAACAAAGATACAGCATTCAGAGCTTCCAAGCCATGGCCACAGTTAGTATAGCCTCCAATCATGGCATTCCAGCAACCAACATCTACTTTATCCATCCATTCAAAAACCAACTTAGCTGAAGTAATATCCCCAAGCCTTGCATACATGCTCAAAGTTGAACCACCAACAAAGACATTCTGTTCTATCCCAAGTTTCCAAGAAAGACAATGAACACTCGAACCAAATCGACAGGCTCCAATATCCGCACACGCCTTCATCACACTACCAAGAGTGAACTCATTAGGCACCAACCCATCCCTCATCATGTCCAAAAAAGTCTCCAAGCAAACTTCAAACTCTCCATTCTCAGCCGCACCCGAAATGATCAAACTCCAAGATACTACATTTCTGTGTGGCATTTCTTCAAACACCTTGAGTCCTTCACACATAAACCCGCATTTGCAGTACATCTTAACCAGATTATTCATGGAAAAAGTATCATAAGTGAACCCCAACTTACAGATATGACCATGTATTTGAGCACCAAAAATGAATGATTTTACATTTTCAGATAGAGAAAGAGCAGCGGCAATGGTTTGAGGGTTGTTTCTACCAACTGGGAAATCATAAGAAAAAGATAAGAAGCGTTGAAACAATGGATGGAAGTTAAGGGCTCTGTTAGCTAAGAGAACAAAGCCACTTCCTAATGCTGAGGCTTTCATGACATTGAGGTCAAATTCAAGTCATAATCAAGCCTATTGAGTTGTTCTTGAAGATGGTTGATTCAAATCAACAAATAAGTGATGAGTTCTATAAAAACAAAACGCTCAACTGTGACACAATTGAAAAGACGAACACTTAGCTGATCCAAATTCATAGTTTTTGTTCTTCACTTGCTTTCAAAAGTAAAAAGGAAGCTGGGTTTTCCCACCCATACATATATATATATATATATTAAAAAATAATTATGAAATTAAATCTTAAATTTAGTTATTATAAATTAAATAATAATATTAATTAAAAATATATTTTAAGATTGTTTTCCGATTTTCTTTTTAAACTAGCTGAATTGTCTTTCCAAAATTAGTGTTTATTTTTTAAATAAAAAAATATTCCAATTCTTTCATCAATTGCCCCTATAGCTCAGTGGTAGAGCGTCAGTCTTGTAAACTGAAGGTCTGTAGTTCGATCCTGCATGGGGGCAAAATTGTATCTTTTATGAAAATTAAAACCTTTTCGAACTCAAGCAAAGAATATGTTTTGCTACCTTCAAGTTACAGCCTTTTTCAACCCCTAAACTTTACAAATGGTTCGATTTTGATTACTACTTACTACATTTGAATGTAATCATGTTTTCGAGAAGGAGAAGCTGTAACGAGTACGTTACGGGGAGAGCAGACAAGATATTCCATCATGTTTTTGATAAGGAGAAGCTGTAACGAGTATGTTACCGAGAGCGGACAAGAAATTCCATCATGTCTTTGAGAAGGAGAAGCTGTAACGAGTATGCTACGAGGAGCTGACAAGAAATTCCATTAATAACAGACCGCTCAAACCCGATCAATTTCGAGTAGTTATGGTATAACCACCCACATGTCTCCCTCTTCATTATAGGGAGAGAAGGAGGAAAAGTTGGCATTAACAGCACCAGCTCAGTTTGCTTTGAAGCAAGGAGGCAAACTCATGTCTACTCCACCCAACACAGGTTATATCATGCTCTCTTCAAGAACCTTCAAACTTTCTACTCAAATCATCACAACTTTTCCACAAACTTATTACCACAAATCACTTAATTACTGGGAATATGTTGGTGTTAGCTTATCGGATATGGGACCGATCGATCTCGACGATGAACATAGGAAACAGATATCATTAGAGCCATATAACAATGTTGTTTACAGTGTGCAGAAAAATGATGGTAGAATGGGTTTTGTATGGACAGAAGGTAGGAGAAAGAGCAGGTTTTTGAAGAAAACAATGGGATTTTTATTCACATCAGAGAAATCCCAGAAACAATACACTGACATAAGAACAAAAACACCATTATTGTCACGCCAACAATTTCTAAGAATCATTATGAATACAAATGGAAATTTTTAGGGGAAAAAAAGAAAAACAGAGGTCTTACAGAGAGAGAGAGATTCGAGCTTCCATTTTTCAAATTCGACCGCCGGCCGCCATGGAAGATGATGAAGAAGTTGAAGAAAGCGTCTTCAATGGCGCCATCACTGCAATAAATCTCCGATTCGAAGTTTAAGGAATCTGCCCGCAATTTCGAGTCCAGCGTTGTTCGAGTTCTTCTTGTTCTGTTCTGTTCTGTTCTGCTCTTCGTCTCGGAAGATCCATTTCTACAGATTTTGATGAATTTACTGAGTGTAATGTTGTAATGAAATGAATCGTCAATTTGCAGCAGCGATTGGAAGCTGTTCTTGCTCTCGTAAGACGGAAAAGAGAAAACCCTAGAATTTTTTCTGGGAATTTCAAACCCTAAACCTCTAATTTGAACGAATCCATCCATGGAAAAACGAAATTGGATCTACGAATTGTAATTCCAAGCAAACTGAAACCCTAGAATCCTACATTCCCACTAGAATTACCGTTGAGCTGCACACAAGAAAGCAATTGACACACAGATATTTGTACAAAATACGATGAATAATAATTTATCCTCCACCATGACAGAGTTCCTAAGATCATCAGCGAGGGTCATCTTCCCGTCGGCCAGAACCACCGCCACCGGACAAAGACGCCAGTAAATTCAGATGACTGGGAAGGTAATTCCCCACTCTCGCCGCCGACGCTTCTCTAATCGGCTGCTGCGGTTGGGCAAACAACGACGCTTGTTGAGAAATCCCCCCGGGTTGAACCACCATTTCCGAGGGAGCCGCGGCGGCAAAACTCCACACCTGCCCATAATCGGGTCTTGCTGGAATCGCCCAGTACCCACCTGGCCCAGTCGGACCCACTCCCGCCCCATCGTCCTTACCGCCGTCGTCATCGGACCGGACGCGCTTGCCGAGAATAAACGGCGTGGGGCCCGAGAGAGCCTGGGGACGAGAGAGGGAGAGAGTTGAAGTGGTGGAAGAAGGGGAAGAGAGAGAAGTAGAGCCGCCATTTCCTCTGACGGAAAGAGAGACGGAGGAGAAATTAGCCGGGGTAGTGCCGGTGCCAGTAGCGGCAATAATGGAGGGCTCAGCCTGGCGAAGGAGCCACTCGATGGTCTGGCCATCGGACTTATGACCAAGCTCTCGAGTCAACTGGAATACTCGAGCGGCGCATATGATGGGCATACGGATGCGGCGGCCACGACCATCGACCTTGCTGTGGCGGTCCTTGGAGGGGGGCTTTTTGACGACGAGGGCTCCATTTGAAGAAGGCTGGTTTTTGTGGGTATCAACGGCGGCGCCATTGGAGACCCCATTGGTGTTGCCAGAATCGGAATTCGACATGAAGAAGAAGATGCAGACTTCAGTGCTTTGTTCAGAGATTGAAGCAGGAGAGGAAATGACAGAAGAAGGGTTAGAAGGAGGTAGCAATGGCTGCCATGGCCGATGGTAGAGAGAGAGAGAGAGAGAGAGAGAGAGAGAGAGAGAGAGAAGGGTTTTGTTAATGAAAGGGGTAATTCGGGAAGAGAAGAGGGCTAATGATTGAGAGAGGCACGAGCTGGTGGCGACAGAAGGAGGGCACATGGGTGGTGGGGTCCACTCCTTATATCCCCACAGCTCATACTCTCTCTCTCTCTCTCTCCTGCAAAACGAAAACCCCACTCTCTTTTTTCTGCGCTTTGTCCCCACGCGCTCAGTGACTGAAATTTATTATTTATTTTACGTTAAAGAGATTAAATAATAATAATAAAAAAAAAATCAATTTACCGAGCATCTAATTCAATTATTATTTTTTTAATTTTTGCAAAACAATATCGAGTAAGCCCTAAAATATAAATAAATAAAAGGAGATAAACATCAATATATAATAAATATTTATAAGGAAATGATATATTTAAAATGGAGAATAGCTAGCAATAAAATAATATACAAGTAAAAGTAGCTTTCAAAAAATTTATAAATGAGATTTTATAATCCAATTAAGACGCCTGCCGACCATAACTTATAATTTTTATTTGCATATTAACCCCTAAAAAATGGGGAGAAAACGAGAATAAGGAGATCTTGGAGGGGTTTGATGGATACTTTTGCAAATAATATATTGTCATCATTACCCAAAAACCAATGGTACTTAGCCAACAAAATCCCGTGTAACACGGGCTCTATAATTTCAACTCTTTAAAATATTTTTTAATAAATAAGTTAATGAGGGGGAAATGTCGTTTTTAGCCTTTTTTTTTTGGATTAATTTATGATTAATAATTGATTACTTTGGTTTAATATTTTCTTTTTCTTTTTTTAATTTTATTTATTAACCACCACATTATATTAATTGTATTAATTTAATATCACACGGCGATTTTTGATGATTTTGTGATTGATATTTTGTACCTTTATTTTTAATGTCTAATTTTTTTTTTTTTGTTTTCTTTTAATCACTTTTGGTGGAACATTCCTCATTCTATTTTGTTATATTATCAAATCTCATATATTTATATTCCACCCCCTATGCTTTGTCCAATTCCAATTTAACTTTAAAGTTTGATTTTTATGACAATAAGATGACAGATCATATATATATATATATATATATATATATATATATATATATATATATATGTTAACATCTTACAGAGTTCTTTTTAATATAAAATATTATTTAAAAATGTTCAATTTTAGAAACATTTTATAAATGTTGGGAATAATTTTTAAATAGAGAACAAGATCCACGCTTCCCCTTCAAAAACTTAGCAACTAAACTAAGCCCCCTTTCAAATATTTTCCATAATTGAAAAGTATTCAATATTTGCTAGCGGTGGGCGGGAATGGATTGAAAATTGTTTTAAAGGGCATTTTTTCCAGCCTACCTCAAGGGAGTTTCCCCTCTCTCTGTATATATATATATAAAGAAACATGTTTTAAAACATTAAGGAAAGATCTAATAGATTGATAATGGCCACTAGATTGACATTCATAATCATGAATCGATCCGAAGGGAAACAACATTCAGACTTAAGGCTCATCCTCTCACGAGTTGGATGAGTTTGAATGGAACCGACGACTTGTTTAGGAAAGAAGAGATAGAAACCACATCCTGAATATTCCAGTGGGAAGGGGTTCTTTAGCAACTATAACAGTATGATATGATATGATAGAAGGAATTTATATTTAGTGAAGAGTGGTTATAAACTCACCTCCACAGCCTATGCTTCCTTATGGAATATTTCTGTACCATCAAGATTCAAGTCTCAAAACATTCTCCCTACAAACAGGAATGTGCTTAGAAGGAAGCTGGTTGGTTGATGACCCAAGATTCCCCTATTCAATCCCCTTTTTCACTCTGCTTTCACACTGATATGATTTTTTATTTAAGACGAGGGGAGTGTGTGTAGTATTATGAAGAGCTTGGAGATGAGGATAACCTGCTAATCCGCAGTTTGGTCAACTCGGAATGCGCCTGGCCAGATGCTTTCAACAAGCCTGACAGACACCTACACGACCCGATTGATTGGGCTCCAAACTCCCAGAAAGATTACATGACTGCGCAGTGGATCCGGCCCCCCTGCTTCGCATGTTGATGCATCTCCTGTACAAAACTCATAGGTATTATTGGGAGACAATAAATGAGGGAATTCATATGGAAAACAAGAAAATTACCCAAATTCTCATCCCTACTAAAAGAAATGTTGATGAGATGCAGGAGTGGGTGTTTTAATGTATGGGAGCGAGCAGCGCCGCTCTGGTAAGCGGGCCGTCCTTGGGAATCTACAGAGCATATACGTATATGGCGAGAAAGAAAGGTTACTACTCTCTTTCTTTGCCGTGTAATCAAATTACCAACCATTTGTAAGTCCGATTGACTCGAGACAGACGCACCAAACAAGGCATAACATCCAGGTTCCACCCACCCCCTTCCCCCCTACATCTCCGAGCCCCCATTTGGATTATAAGCCACCATTGCCTGGCTCGGCGACCCTTTGATTCCCAAACTCAAACTGGCAGGCAAACCCACTTTAGATTCAATTTTTTTCGGGACAATTCATTTTCTAATTCATAGAATACAGCACCAGCAAATAAATGGGTAAAATTTACTTTACCCATTTAATGTTTTTTTTCCAATTTTTTATTAAAAAAGAAACTAGCCTACTAAATACTATCAGACATTAAATCAATTTTGTACCTAATTTATTAATTACTTCTTAATTTTTTTTAATATGTCCCGCTTTTATCTATTTTAAACAAATGTCCCCAATCTGAGCATCTCTAGTCACGTATGTTTGTAAATAAAGAATTATTAAGAATCAAAGTACTTTAATTCCTTATTGAAATTAATTCAATTTGTACTCACGAGGTTGGGTTAACCAAATCCCATAATCTGAAAACTACTTACGGCCGTAAAGTAACAACCATAGAGCTTTCGTACTTCGATTTCAAAGAAGAAAGAACAAAACCCAGAATGCGAACCTCAACAGTTCCTGGATATCCTTAATTGGAAGATAAGGATTACTAATGATCTGATTATCGCAATAATAGGAAGTATGCGAAAACTTGTGTTTACAATCCAAACCAAGTGACCAAAGAAATAGCGGCTAATAGAAAGTTTTCTAAGTTGAGCCTCGGAAAGATGGGGCAATCCCATATTTTTTGGACATAGTTCAACAGAATAAAGCTTCCAGAATGGAAATGTTCTAAAAATGGCGTCCGATTTAGAAGGCCAGAAGGTATTTGAAACCCCTATATAAGAACCCAACTGAGGCTTGGGAAAATTAAGCCCCAGGGCTAAGCTGAATAAAATCTGTTCTTTCCTGAACATGACATAAGGGATTTATTTTTTTCTTTGTATTAGTTCTTTCTCTTTTGTCTCAGTGGATTTAAGGGTCTATCAGTTTCTTATAAATATATATTATATATATACATATATATAAATTATATACTATATAGGTTTATCCCTTTCTGAAAGACCCCCAAAAATCCACTGGTGAAATCTTTTCTCCTACATTACCAACAAATTTCTTGAAAGAACTAATATAAAACATATTTTATACACAGATTAATATCTAGCTACATTCGTAATCCCTAACATTTTTTAAGGAAAAAAAAAAAAAAAAAAAAAA